AAAATGAGTAAGGTCACCGTATCCAAGCGACACTTCAGCCAAGAAACGCCCCCTCCTTGAGCCTCAGATTCCTTTACTGTGACTAGGAGCACCACCAACCTGCCTCTCAGGGCTGCGCTGGGGGCACCGGGTCCTGTCCCTGTCAATCTGTCAGGCTCCGTGCCTGGCATCTCAAGGAGACCCTGGGCACTCTGACGGCAGGGATGGTGGAGTGCATCTCTGCTATCCTTATCAACACCTAGTCCAGGACCTGGTCCAGAGGAGGGGCTCAATAAATATTTCTTCGTGATGATGGTGACAGGCCAGCGGCATCCGAGGCCCTCCATGACTGGACTCTGGCCCTGTGTGCAATCGGACCTCCCCTTCCTCTGGCCACACAGCTCCCCGGACCCTTCCTACCTGACCAGACCCTCTCTTCCCCTCCCTCCCCTTCCCCTCCCTCCCCTACCCTGCTGCCACCTCTGCCTGGCAAAATCCTGAATGCTACCCCTCTGATGAGGCTCCTCTCAGATGCCTCCACCTTGCAGCCTTTGGCAATTCACTAACAGGATTCATTTCTATTTCTGTGCCCAGTCTTTGAAGCCTCCAGAACTCTGGGTCCACACCCCAGCTCAGCTGTCGGGAGCTCCTGGGCAGGTCATTGCCCCTTTCTGAGCCTCATTTTCCTCATCTGGGAAATGGGTGTAACACAAGGCAGTGTCCTAGTGAGGATTCACAACCCATACGCAGAGCTGCTGGCACAGGGCGGGCCCTCACTAAGTGGCCTCAAGGGCTTCCTTTGGTGGCTGGATTGGGGCTGGGAGGTTTCCATCTATGGGAGAGGGAGGTGGTTTCCCCCCAGGGGTGAGGGCCATGTGAGGTGAAAACAGCATCCCCTTTGAGCCGGAGCCTGGCTCCAGAACTGGCTGCAGAGGGAGAGGGCGGGCGGGTAGAGCTCAGTTTATTGAGCACCGACTGTATGCCAACTATTCTGCTTCCCTTCTCTCAAGCGGCCCCTACTTTATGAGGAAAGCCGCGCCCAGAGGGGCAGAAACACTTGCCCAGAGTAGCATTCTACTGAGGCACAGAGCACCTCCCTGAGCCCTCTGCAGGCAGTTATCGCCCCCCATCCTGCCCTTTCCGAGTCCGTTTTCCATTTCTCCCTGGTGTCACCTAGACGCCAGTGTTTAAGGGGGCACACCTTGTTCTCTGCCCAGCCACAGCCCCGACCTGGAGACAAGAAACCCGGGTCCTCCCCCATCTCTGCCACTGCCAGCAGCTCTGGGCACCTGCTTGCTGGGTCTGGGCTTCCCTGTCTATGCACGGGAACGGTCCCACCTGCCCGGCCATCCACACAGGGCTTTGCAGTTACAGAGAATTATTATATTCACTCCACGTAACAGGCCTCCGCAGTGGGTGCTGCCACGGTCCTCTGACAGATAAAGAAAAAGAGGCTCAGAGGGGGGAGAAGGGCAGAGGTGAGATTCAACCCACGAGGGACCCCCCGCCCCCCAGTCCAGGGAGCATCACGCTCTGCCATCAAATGGGAGGCAGAAGTGGCTGAATCCTTATGAAGCTCCTACTGTATGCCTTCGGCACCTTCCCTCTGGGACTGTGGGGGACCTTCCCAACCACCAAAGAGGTAGCTACACCTGTTCCCATTTCACAGATGTGGACCATGGATGGGAGAAGGCACGCAACCTGTCCCAGGCCACACATCTAGGCAGGAGAGGGCTCAGGATTTGAACCCAGGGCTATGTGAATTCCTGAGCTCTGCCCTCTGCCCCTTGCTGCCTCAGGTCTAGAAGGATCTAGAAGCACCATGCGAGTGTGGGGGACTCTCGCCTCCACCAAGCCCCCTCCCCAGGAGGCCTTGGATGTTGGGGAAAGTCAGTCATGGCCTGTCTTCTCCTCGATGCCTACATGAGGCTCCGTATCGGGGTGGGGGGCACAGACCCCTCACTCTGCCCGACTGTCCCATTGCCAGGACACCCCAGCACATTTCAAGAGAAATGTCCCCATCTGGTTCTGACTCGTTTACTCTTAGTTAATTAAAATGTAGTTTTGTAAGAGACACTTGAGATCCAAGAACCTTTCTCAAGCCTATTCTTTCACTCTTTCTTGTCTTAGAAACAGAAAAATTGGGGTTCATCAAGCAACAGCGACGCCGGTGCTGAGGAAGCGCGGGTCCGCGGGAGCCAGGCCCTGAGGGTGACGGCTCAGACCGGGAGGCCGCTGGCCCAGCGAGTCGGGCAGGGAGGGCAGGGAGGGGACACCCCTCCACACCAGCAGCTCCTCACCTCAGCACCCCAAGGTTCCCAACACAGGCCTGGCACAGGGGCTGCCCTGCGACACTTGTTGAATGAACAAGTGAAAGGAAAGAAAGGAAGGAAGGAAGAAAGGGAGGGAGGGAGGGAGAGAGGAGGAAGAAAGAAGCACTGTAACACCCAGGTACCTTCAGGACACATTCTGTGAAAGTTAGACCAGAACATCAAAGCTAGTAAGACACTCAAGGATCTTGTGTGGAATTCTCCAAGCAGCTGTCTTATGAAAAATGGTCTCTGGTGTGTAATTACTTTGGGAAAAGTCCTGCTGTCTATCCCCAGCCTCTTCACCATGAAAGCTCTGATAAGTCCTGCAGTCAAGAAATCTGCTAAACCCAGCATATCTCAAACCTATTTGGTCAGGACTCCTATGACCACCTTGCAGAATATGCTACAGGAAGAGTTTCTCTACTCCCCGCCCCCACTCCAGTGCCAATGGGGAAACTGAGGCTGTGGGCAGGAGCGGGGGAGTCCACGTACCCAAGGCCACACAGTACAAAGGGGTCAGGGTGGGACTGAGATCCAAGGCTGTCTCCACTGCAACTGATAAATGGAGCCACAGGCCTCTCTCTGGGAAGACGCAGGGCTGGGCGTGCGAGCGTCCCAGACTCAGGAGATCAACCACCAAACTGGGCAGTGTCAGGAGCAGCCGTGCTGAACTCCTCACTGAGCAACGGGGGGTGGGGGTGAGCTGGGGACAGGGGAGGGTTTGGAATTTTTCGTTTCCTTTATTCTTTGTTTTAGAACAAAGAAGCACCTTAAAGATCTAAACCAGCTCCTCTTCAGATGGGGAAACTGAGGCTCCGAGAAGGGAAGACCAACACAGCTCAGGAGACATCTTCTCAGCGTCCCATCAGATGGATTGGGATTCGAGCCTGCTTCGCTACTTACCTGCTGTGCAACCTTGGACAAATCAGTCTCCCTCTCTGAAGCAGTTTCCTCATCCAAAAAACAAGCATACCCCCTCCCTCTGCTAGGCTGTTACGAGCAGCCAAGGACACAATAGGCAGGAAGTGAGAATGACTAATGCAAGTGCCCACTAGGAGCCTGTGTACCCGGCTACTCACTTAAGATACACACTAACTCATTCGTCTCCCCCACATTGGCCCTGTGAGCTGGATACTTAAGATTACCACTCCTATGTTAAAGAGGAGTCAATGAAGAGAAAGTTTTCATTTTTTGGTCTTTTTTAGAACTGAGAAAGACCTTAGAGATCTTCTAAAAGACTCTCAGATGGGTAAACCGAGGTTCAGAGAGGCAAAGTGGCTTCCCCAAGGTCACTTGGGGAAGGCAGGCTGACTCCAGAGCCCATATACTTAACCTCTATACCAGGGCCATTCACAGAGGAGTGTCCCCAAGAAGTCCCAAACTCCCCGTGCTCACTGAAGCCCACCCACCTCTCCACTCCCTGGGTCCCTCTGTGCAGTCTCACCGGGGTTGGAGCCCTTCTGGCCGTAGTCTCCCTGCCGCACCCAATCCCACCTCCCAGCTCTCCCACAGCCCCTCACTGCTTCCTGCTCCACTCCAAGAGGGACTGTGTCCATGTACGGCTTTTCTCTCTAATGGACTAGAAGCCCCCAGAGGGCAGACTCTTGTTCTCTTTCTTATGTAGCTTTGCTCAGACCTAACACTAGAGCTGGAAAGACAGCGGACACTGGGTCTTCCATTCACCTGCTGGAGAACTTAGCCAAGTTACTTAACCTGTCTGAGCCTTGGCATGTGGCTTTAGAAAATGGGATGACCCCTATGTTAGGAGGATGTAGCAGGATTCCACGAGACAGCACATGGAAAACCCTTGGCACAGTGGTGGGTGTTCAACTGTTGATTCTCAAACAGGCATCCAGAGGCCGAATGGCTGCCCGGCTCAGGCAGGAGACTTACTCACCGGCTCACCCTCCTCGGCCCCGCCAGCTCTGCTGCCCCCGGCTCTGCAGGGACAGCCTCAAACCCACCTCCTGAGGACGTTCTGATTCTGGTAGTGAGGGGCGGTGACATAGGACGCCAAGGTGAGACTGCAAGGGTTCCCTGGCTTAGTGCCCCAGGTACGTTTATAGTTTGAACCTTGTTCATCTTCCCCGTGGCCAGAGGAGGCCAAGATGGAAAAACTGAGGCTCTGGGAGGGGCTGGACTTCTTCCAGGTCACCCCCAAAATAAATGGACTTGAACTCAGGTCTCAGGTCTCCCTGACCTCTGCAGCTCATGCCCTCCCCCGAGGGGCCCCCACCAAGGATCACCGACTTCTCTGAGGTGACACAGTGTGTCAGGGTCGGTGATCCTACTGGGGCATATGGACTCCCAGCCCAGAGCTCTTTGTCACCTCCTGGTTCAGCACGGATGCTTGGGATGGCTTCTAAGCTACTGACTCTGTCCCCTCATCCCTGTGCCCTCCAGCCGGCACCTGGGGCTTTCTGTCTTTGCACAGAGCCGCCCTCCTCCCCCGAGCAATGCTGCTACCATAGGGAGTGGGCTCAGTGAGAAAGCCCCGCCAGCCCCTTTCCTCCCTGGAGAGCCTCCCTGCTCTAGCTTGCTCAGTGGGTGCCCTGGGGCCTCAGTGTCCCCATCTGTAGAGTGGGACTGACGGCTCTCGGGAGAAGTCAATGGCCCAGAGCGCCGGGCACCAGGCAGATGCCCCAAGGGCCCTTCCCCTTTCTGTCCCGCTGCGCCCGCCCAGCCACCCTGCCGGGCTGCACCTCGTACCTTGCTTCTTCCTTCGGTTCAAGGGGAGCATGTCCACGGCGTGGGCGACGAGCAGCAACAGGCAGAGTGGCGCCCGCATCTGGGC